CAGCACCGGCATTATTTGACTAGAAGACACGTAAAGTTAGCTTGGCCGCCGAATTATGTACAATGAAGGAAAGCCCTCATTTCCCCTGTCCTTTTTGTGGTCGTCATGTCATTGTTATGGTACTCATTCGGAACATGCTCAAAAGCGTCGCAAGTGTTGGGGACATGAGGTGGTGCAATTGCCCCCCCCCCCCCCCTCCCTCCCCCCTCGTACCCCGGACGTGCTTTTTTAACTTGAGGAGGTATACATATCTGTTGACCAAGAGGTTTGACCGCAACGTGTGCGACTACAACGAAAAGTAGAGCTAATTTTTGCATTAGGTTAAATAAAGGATGCGAGGTCACACCCTTGCACAAAAAGATTTTACCTATTGTCCGGGGAGTTAGGATGCCTTGTAAACACTGTTGAAGATAGTGGAGCCGTCAAACCGCAAAATGGCTCTCACGGACAGCCAAAATGTAGCCAAAGCCATAAAAAAGAAATAGCCAAAATATCCCAAAACCGACACAACAATTTGTAGAATTTCTATTCGAAATACCTGTCACTCAAGGCATCATGCTTATTGCTTCACACCTTACATACAGGGGTCTCCAAACTCCGGCCCGAGGGCCAAATCCGGCGATTCGAAGTTCTTCCTACCGGCCCGTGGTGCTTCCAATGAATCCGGTCCCGCGGCCCGCTTCCAGCAAGCCCGCTGCTACCAGCGCAAAAATAAACGCGCGTAAAAGAAAAACCGTGTCACAACGCGCACCAACAGTGTAAAAAAAAAAAAAAAAAAAAGGAAGAGAAAATTGGTATAGTAATGCATGCCCTCTCATTACATTATTAATTGGACATTGCCATCACCAGCACCACTATTATTAGTAATTCCCTGCAATAGATATGAATAATTACGTATGTTAAAATTCCCTCGAGTTGCCATGTATATTGTGCTTAGTGCCCAGTGTCGTGTCTATCGCATATTGTCGGCATTGGTTCTATTATTCTCTTTAGGCTTCTGCCCTGTGCGAACATGCCAAGCTCCTATGCGCTTTAATTTATGCTTGTGGGGAGTACTCTGGGTCCCAATTATTGTTTAATGTTACAATTAGCTCATTATTCATTTAATATTATTGACACCTCGAGGAAAGACAATTCGTCCAGTCGGGCAATTCGCCCTAGGCCAATTCTCAGAACAAAGGATTGGGCGAAAGTGCCCGTCCGTCGAACGGTCGAAAAGAGTGGCACAGGGTGTCTATAAACCAACTCATCTCTGTGACGTCACGGCGCGGTGGTGGCGCGTCGGTCGCACTTCCGGTCTGGGGCTGTGGGCAGAAGTCCCCATGCCAGACGTGCATTCCTGCGTTGTTTTGAAGGGAACCAGACAAAAACCTGCCTACTCGTCAAAACGCCGGGACTGGGATTGTATCAGACGAGTCGAGAAAGGTTTGAAGGTCAGTTTTCACGTGCTCGGTTCGTCCAAGAATCTGGATATGTGCCGTGAAAAGGGAAAAGCAGACGCCGTGGGACAACGATTGCTTGGGCGGGAAGCACTTTGAGTTGAATTCACGGATACTTGTGGTAATCAGATTTATTTGTTTTATTCCAAATTGTACGCCAGAAAACCATCAAGTTGTGCGGACCACCTGCGGACTACGTTCAGTGCGTCTTCAAGTTCAAACGGCCGCCTGATCGTTCGAACTGTCGTCTGCTCTTTCAAACGTTTCTGCTTGTCGTCTGCTCTCTTAGACGACGCCGGCCCGTAGATTAAATGTTGGCCCGGTACTTGCTATACGAAGTAAGTGCAGGCCTCGAAAGACTTAAGTTTGAAGGTTGGTGAGCAGGCTCGATCTAAACAGTAAATAAAAGGAGATGTTGATCATTGTTACGAGTGACCGTCACTGACTTGCTATGCCTAATTGACTTGGTCCGATTCTGCTTGCGATTTTCAGTATCGACGTCGACTATCTCAGCTACGGTTCACACTTCTGCAGCCTGAGCGGCGTCGCGACTGAAAATTGCGAGCGGAATCTCATCATGCGGATCAGGTTTTAGCGTAGATACTGCGGCGTCCACGCGGAATGAATCGCCACATGTCACATTATTCACGCGAAGTTTCGCGGTGTAACAAGCCTAGGTAATTTCGCTGACGAATCTCAAGTAGTCAGACATCGCCAGGAAGACGTAGAATCAACAATTCGAACGCCAAAAAGAGCAGGGGGACTCACACCGACGCCGACAACATCGCATTTCAAAGGTTTGTTTATGGGCGACGGCGAACTTCTTGCCCACACCCCCCTCGCGCATGCGCGGCGCCGGTGGCGTCCGCTAGGGGCGCTCCGGTTTGTTTGTAAACATGAGTTCGTGAACGTTGGGGTCAACAATGGGACCCTGCTTGCCAAAAATAAAGGATTACAAATTCAGTTCCCAGAATTTACAAGGGTCCGGCAGTGAATCGTTAAAATCCGGGTCGTTCAAAATAATAAAAGCCGGGCTCTGCGTGTAGACGTTCGCTCGACTCTATCACAATAGAATTTGGGAAGATCGAGCGAAGGGCTAATCTTCTTATTCTTGATGGTCACATGTACACTTCTAATACGCGTACAGCCAACACCGCCTTGCTGTTGGTACAGCCACCACGGCCTACTGGATTTGTCAGCAAAGAAAAGTCTGCAAGGCTGCGTTGGCTAACAACCTCGAAGGCACGGCTGTCGCAAGAAGACGGTAAAACCTGGTTTCTGAATTATTCTTTCTATAACTCCGTGAAGGCAAAATTTGTACGGAACTAGAAGAATCTCAATTGCAATTATTCTGTTTGACCTACATGATTTCTTAGCGACATAATTTAGTCACGAATTTACAAAAAGGCTACGGTCGAGGAAGCAGTTTATGTTTGTAAAACTCTTTTTCTCAATGTCGATAATCATATTTGCACTTGCAAGTCGGCCGAATCGTGGTGGGATTTCCTTCTAGGCTCAAAAGCACATCACCCCAACTTTGTTGCAGTTTTTTCGACAAATATTTTTGCGAAGGGGAAAATCACACCTTTTTTTTTTTTGTATTTCATGTAGACAGTACACATTTGTTTTCATGCACGTCTAACACATTTGGTTAGAATATTTCTTTAGTATTCATGTATTTATTTCTGTGGATAATATGTCCATAGTATCAGCATCTTCCCTGCCAAGCAAACCTTGACAATTGATCAGAAAACCACACTCTAACTGGTGCGATCTTTTGTCTAGCCGCGTCTTTTATATATTTGGGGTTTAGGGGAGCCAAAGCGGGACAAAACGAATCCCGGACAAAAGCTCACCTGACAGAAGCTCACCGGACAAAAGCCCACCCATTTTTTCACAGACCCGGACAAAAGCTCACCGGACAAGACACCATACCACAAGCACGCTTGCGGAACATGGGGACCTGTCACACCTAAATCGGGACGTCTGGTCACTTTACCGATAGAGATGTACGAAATAGGCGAGGGCCCGTTGCCGATTATGGGCGGCGGAAAAAAGCTCACCGGATAAAAGCTCACCGCAAAACAGGCAGTTGCGAAGAAAAGCTTACCGGTCCATGAGCGGATGCGGAGAGAGGCTCACCGCTTTTTTAAACCTTTTCTTAGCTTATCGGATTGTGCGTCCCACGTGGTAATCTAATAGAACTACAATTCGTCACTTCATTTAAAAATTGTCCTCTGTTTTGTAATATTCGTGAAGTTTATTGGCCATATTTAGTAATTCCTGAGAAATTATTAATCACCCATTTTGACTATTAATAACGCCGCGAGTATAAAATGACACAAAAAGCCCATACAGAAGAAAACTATTGATTGACAGCTTGAGAATGGACCGGCGGTAGCTGTTCTCCGCTTCTTATATACCCAAGGACATAAATTTAACATATTGTATCAATCACACTGCATGCTGGCTTCCGACGAGAAACATTCCCGGCTTCTAGAGGGCGCAACCACTGCACTTTTTCGCAAAGTCAACCAGGCATTGGTACCCTAAAATTAATCTACCACGAAATGATTGAGTTCAGGGCGGAAAGCAAAAATCAAGATGCTTTAAATTTGATTTAAGCAACATCAATTGCACTGTGATGACTTTTAACAAAAACACCCCGTACATAAAAAAAAAAAAATCCCTCAAAGCTAATAGCATGAAGACGATTTGATTAATGCTTGTATGTAAGTTGATATCGGCCATGTACATTTATGTTCTTTTTAATTTAAGAAAAAACAACATCTGAGAAATAAATATTATAACAGGCTGAACGCGAGCAAAACGCGGTGCTCTTCTGCGCTAATCGGAGGGGTGAGCTTTCTTCCAATCTTCCGCTTCTTCCGTTATTTACTACATGGAACCTCATGCGAGCATATCAAAATGCGATGGAAACAAACAAAAACGTGTATGCGCGCACTCGCGCACTGGTTGAGAAGGACAGCCTGGACAGGCACAGAGAGATCTAACTGTACGTGTAAGGTATTAAAGAAGAAATTAAAAGGCTGGCGTCCATAGAATTCTCGTGTAAAACAAAGCTGCTTTTTATGCTACACATAAGATTTATGTGTACTACAAGCACGGAGAGTTTAGGGAACTTCCAGGAAATTAAATATGACATTACATTTATATGCAAAATTTTAACGGACAATCACAAATTTAAAACGTTTCGCAAAAAAAAAAAGTAAAAGAAACTGTTGAGATTGACCTATAAATACCAAAAAAAAAAAAAAAAGCAAACGAAGTCTATTCTTTCTTTTTTTCGGGGTGAAAGTTTTGGTTTCACCTTCGGTGTACATCCACTCTTAGTTATAGTGGCGTCCTCTTTGTTTGACATCAACCTCCCCGCAACGAGGGACGAACCCCAGCCGGATGTCAAGGTCACCGGACAGGGCGAAGTTTTTCCAGAGATAATTACCACATTGACACATGATCTCAAGTGGTGGAAACCGGTGAAGTTTAACCCCAGCTAGCAGAAATTCTAGGTCACCGGGGTTCATCCCTTTCCCTTTCATCTACTTCGCTGCGTGAGGGTTAAACGTGAGGCTACTTTGCACACGGCCTTTCCAGAGAACCGAATCCGGGCACGCAGAATGCTGAGTTACAAGGCAGTCAAGGTCGCGTCGCAGGGTTATTTAAGGGCGGTGGTGGTGGTGCCGAGAATCACTCGCCTTCGAATACCAGTGTGTGATCGTCTCGCTGAACCAGCCTCCGTCCCGTTTCGACGATGCAGCCTGCCGTCCTGTTCGTGCTAGTCTCCGTGTCGTTCGCCGGCATTTGCACAGGTAAATGTTTTTTTTTTGTTATTTTATTGCGTCGCTGGGGGTTTTGTTATTTCTTGTATTTATATCGAATTTATGATTTTCTTATTCGGGTTAGATGTGCGTGTCAATTTTCGGTAGTCCTTCTTTTATGTGCACGCAAGACTTATGTGAACTTTTTAAACTCGAATGTCGACGTGAGAAACTTGAATTTGTTTAAGAGTTAAATATACGGAAATCTAGGAGCAACACCAGCTTTTAGTCGTAAACGTGTTATTCAAACGTCACGTGAAATGTGATTGCGCAGTCTATGTGGTTTCAAAATAATAAATCTCAGCTTATCAGTAAAATTTGAGGTTGAGCATGAATGACACGATAAAAATGTGAAGCACCCACCTATTTGTGTTCGAGCAAGCTGTCTTGAGCATTTTCATTTTGAATGATAACCCTGGACTTTCGCTAATGTGTCACCATCGTATTTGCTTTCTTCCCAGGTTATAGCCTACACCTGAATCTTTCGGAAGAAACGGTAACAGACGTCTCCGTGGCCCGCAACCTCCCCTTGGCCATTTTGCCTGTCGCCCTGGCCATCGCCGGACCTGTGATAGCCATACTCTTTGGCAGCCTCAAGCTCGTCCTGCTGTCCTTTGCCTTGATCTACCTGTTCCTGTTCGGCCTCACCTTCGTACCTACCCTCGGGGTCCACGTGCAGTCCGTGTTCCGAGCCCTGGGCGACACCCTCACGGCCGCCGTGCCTCCGACCATAGGCGAAGACCTGCTGCGGAGCGCAGGACTCGATGCTGAAGAGTGCCGGACCAGAGCTGTCTGTGAGGTCACCGAGGACGCTGTCCGGCGGTACCCCACCGTGGCCGCCATGCTGAGGTCGCTCAGCGGTGCTGTTCAGGCTCAAGAGGGAAGCAAGTTTGTGCTCAAGGGAATTCTGGGTGGACTGTCTGGTCTAGGATGCGAGTCACTGTATGATGCCTGTAAGAAGTCGCCGCTCGAGAAGGTGCTCAAGGCGCTCTCTTAGCACTACAGTTTGTACTGGTGCGTCGGTTTTTTTGTTATCGTTAATAAAAAAATAAGAACTTACACCTGTGTTGATTGCTATGATTGTAAAAGCGACCTTAGTAATCATCGCAAAGGGACCCGGGGTCGACGACATTACTTACCAAGCCATCAAGAACAGACGTGCGCTTCAAGCCAAGATTACTGGAGCACCTTAGCATGCATTTGGGAGCTCTCGCAATCTCCCAAATGCATGGTTACACCCAACATACAGACTACATACTACAACATACTCTTGCTCCTTGCATGTGCAACTGATTTCGAAAACAAAAATGTTTCGCCGACGAATCAGTTGGCAACTGGAGCGCACGCGAGCGCTACCGACTGAACTATCTGGATTTCGCCACGGCCGATCAGCATCAGATTCAATTAGCCCCGTGCGCGACCGGAAGCGTCGCTGTGGTCGGCCTTCCACGATTGGCCGAACGCTGACTATGACGTAGGAAATCGACGGAAATAAGAGGAATGAAAGAACTTTAATTTTGACGGTGTTGGCAGTGTTGCTTTGAGAGCGCTATGATTTCAGGCTTCCGCCATGCTATTTACAAACACCATCGAACTTGTTGTTCGATGGTGGAACCATAGGAGGGCGCCACCAAAGCATCTCGCCGCTAAGGGGACCTTGAAGAATCCTTGGAGGAAGCAAAAACAGAAGGGAAGGTAGCCCACGTCGTGTTCCTCGACATACACCGCGCCTTTGATGCACTTCCACACAGTGTCATTCTAACGAAAAAATTGAGGTCTTTAAGAACTGCCATAAGTTAAGAGGTTCCAGCATCTCCCTTCAAAACGACTTCTGCCAGGAAACATTACGTAAACGAAAACAGCTTTGGGATAGTGCGGAGACGGAGAGAGCTACTGGGCGTCGGGTCAAACTTTTTGAAGATAAACTCCAGATTGGCAGTGATTTGTATTTCTGGGATAACGAGGCCAGCTGCCGAACTAAAATAACAAAAGATAGACACGCGCCAGTTGTAAAGAAGTGACGTAAGGGCACAGGAGCGGCAAAGCAGCTAAGAATAACGAACGTGAACGCGCGAAGTTTGGTTAACAAGGTCGAAGCACTAGAGTATATTCTGACGCTTCACTGTCCACATCTAGTTATCGTAACCGAAACATGGTTAAACTGAAACATACAGGATGATGAAGTAGTTCCCCCTGCGTACAAAATTATACGCAAGGACAGACCAACACGAGGGGGAGGTGTCGCGATTATTATGAAGAAGTCAATTACTTGTCATATTATGAATGACTTACCACTCACAGAAAGTATTTGGTGCAAAATTGACTTTTGTGGCACGCAATACGTAATTGGAGCAGTTTATAGGCCGCCTGATTCCCCCTTGTCAATCATAGAATCAGTTTATGACTATGTTGCTACTAATGTCGCTAATAAATCAAATTTCATTATTGGTGGTGATTTTAACCTGCCTAATATTGACTGGGATACTCTTGAGGCTGGTGCCACCGAGGTTAAACATGCTCAATTACTGCTCGACATGGTGTTTAATTTCAATATGGCGCAGGTTGTAAAAGAGTACACAAGAAGGGGGAACGCAGGCAGTTCGGTATTAGACCTGATTTTTGTTAGTAACAAGTTACGTGATTTTTCTGTGGATATTAATGATGGAATTTCAGACCACAATCTTGTTTTACTGAATTTTTATACCACTTCTTCATTAGATCCCATCAAACGTCAGGATGCACGCGTGTATGATTTTTATAATGCAGATGACGTAGGCGTACTGGATTATTTGGAAATGTCTCTGTCTGGTCTCGATGGAACGGGTGATGTAAACACAATGTGGCATTACTTTAAAAAGACTGTAAATCATTGCTTGCAGATGTACATTCCCCAGAAAATAAAGCGCATAAATAGACAAAATCCATGGATAACACGTGACATTATTCATTTAAAACGCAAAATAAAGCGGCGACGCAAGACAAAACCTGTCACCAAAAGTGACGTTGCCGGCCTCTCAAATGAATTAAAAGAAAAAAATTAAGGAATCTCGGGAAAAATATTTCGGCGTCACCTTGCCGGAGTTTATGAAGACAGCGCCACAGAAATTTTGGAAATATCTTGCGCCATCAAAACAGAACATGGATTGCATTGTAGAGAACGGCGTTGTCATCTCGGATCATATCGGAATGGCCCAGAGGTACAATGAATACTTCAGTTCTGTTTTTATCGATTCATGCAATTGTCCTGTGGATCTGGAGGACGACGAAGGCGTACTTGCGTCTATGCCAGGCATTAATATTTCAGAGGCCGGTGTCCTTTCACTTTTGTTAAATATTAACACAAAGAAAACCGCTGGACCAGACAAGATTCCTAATGAATTTTTGAAGCGATATGCGGAATGGGTCGCCAAATACTTAACAATTATATTCAAAGCGTCACTCAGTCAACACAGCGTTCCTTCGGATTGGCTTTGTGCAAAGGTTGTTCCAGTCCACAAATCCGGTGACAAACAAAATGTAGCCAATTATCGTCCCATTTCATTGACATGCACGAGCTGCAAACTTTTTGAACACATAATTTCTAAAAGTCTTTATGCTTTTTTCGAATCAAATAACATTTTTCACAAGAGCCAACATGGATTCCGGCGCGGTCTGTCAACAGTAACACAATTACTAGGTACATTTGGTGACTTTTCCTGCTCTTCGAACGAGAGAGGCCAAATCGACGCGGTTTGTTTGGATTTATCGAAGGCTTTCGACCGAGTTTCACATGATGGACTGATACAAAAACTATTAAAATACGGCGTTAATAAGTCGGTAATTGCGTGGATACAGGCTTACTTGTCTAACAGAACACAGTTTGTGACTGTCAGCGGAGCAGTATCGACCACCCGCAGGGTTACATCGGGGGTCCCACAGGGATCGGTGCTGGGTCCAGTCTTGTTTTTACGTTACATAAACGACATCGTGAATGATCTCAGCCCCAACGTTACAGCTAGGATGTTTGCGGACGACCTCTTGCTCTATGCTAGAATACGCAACCCCATGGATGAAGAAAACTTAGACACGACTATCAACTCTGTTAAGAAATGGTATGAAGAATGGGGTATGAAAATTAATCCAGATAAAACTGTATCCGCCAGAATCACAAGCAAAAAAGCGAACATCCTACCCTACACATATCGGGTTGGAAACGATCCCATAGCTCTAGCTGATCACTTTAAGTACTTGGGAGTTACGATATCAACCGACCTCACATGAAATCGCCACATCGACAATGTGTGCAGTACGGCTCGCAAAAAGTTGGGATTTTTGAAGCGAAACCTAGGCAAAACCACAAGTCAGGTGAAATTGACTGCATACACAACATTTATACGGCCCACCTTAGAATATGCCTGCGCGGTGTGGGATCCGTACCGACACAATCGAATCGAAAAATTGGAAAAAATACAAAGACAGGCTGCTCGCTTCATCCTCTCGAGATACCGCCGAATGGACTCCGTTACTAACATGCTCGAACAGCTCAGTCTCCAACCTCTTCACACCCGCCGAGAGATAGCAAGGCTAAAGGTTATTTATATGTTTTCAGAGGACTTACTAAATATGGACACATCTGATTTTTCACAACCACGTATTACTAGACCAGTAAGGGGGGTACACAATAGGGCTATGCAAGTTCCGCGAATTAATAATGACACATACAAGTATTCATTTTTTGTTAGAACAGTTGAAAGGTGGAACAAGCTTCCCGAAAGTGTTGTGAATTGTGACTCATTAGCATTATTCGAGAAATGTTTACTTGCATTATATTAGACTCTCCATTTCTGTTTATGAATGTGTAAAAGAAGTGTTCTTTTCTTGGTTAGATCCATTGATAGCTTGTGTAGCGTGATGTGTACCAGTGCGGTTTTGCAAATCATATGAAATATAAGATGTGTTAAGAAATGTATATAACATTGCATGAATTAAAACTGACGTTCCACTCCTGTAAAGCGCCCGGAAGGGCGCACAGTATTTACAAATAAATAAATAAATAAATAAATAATACGAAGAAATAAAAAGGCTGGCGACCATAGGATTCTCATGTAAAACACAGTTGCATTTCATGCAACTGTGTAAATAAGATAAATAAATAAGAAATAAGATTTATGTGCCCCATAAGCAACGAAGAGTCCAGGAACTTAAAGGAAATTAAATATGTTCTAATTACTTTTATATCCACAATTTTAACGGACGCTTGCAAAAGTAAGACATTTCGCAAGACAAAAGTAAAGCATACCACTATAACTACCGCTTATAAATACAAAAAAAAAGCCCACCTTTTTTTCTTTTTTTTTTTGGGGGGGGGGGGGGGGGGTTAAAGTTTTAGTTTCACGTTCGATATACATTCACCCTTTGTTAAAGTGGCGTCCCCTTTGTATAACATCGAACCCTAGCCGGAAGTCAAGGTCAGTGGACAAGGCAGCGTTCTTTCGGAGATGGTTACCACATTGACACATGATCTCAAGTAGGTGGAAACCGGTGAAGTTGAACCCCCGCTAGCAGAAATTCTAGGTCACCGGGGTTCATCCCTTTCCCTTTCATCTACTTCGCTGCGTGAGGGTTAAACGTGAGGCTACTTTGCACACGGCCTCTCCAGACAACCGAATCCGGGCACGCAGAATGCTGAGTTACAAGGCAGTCAAGGCCGCGTCGCAGGGTTATTTAACGGCGGTGGTGGAGGTGCCGAGAATCACTCTCCTTCGGATACCAGTGTGTGATCCCCTCGCTGAACCAGCCTCCGTCCCGTTTCAACGATGCAGCCTGCCGTCCTGTTTGTGCTGGTCTTCGTGTCATGCACCGGCACTTCGAAAGGTGATTGTTTTTTTCTACTTCTTTTTCTGTCTGTTGCGGGTTGATATTTGTATTTATGTAGAATCTATGACTTTATTCGGGGAGATGTGTGTGTGGAAACGTTTGGTGGTCCTTTTTTTTATGTGTACGAAAGACTTGTTTGAACCTTCTAAACCCGAATGTCGATCTGAGGTACTTGTATTTGTGTAAGAGTTAAATATAAGAAGGTCTACGACGAACAGCAGCTTTCCGTCTTAAGCATGGGATTCAAACGTCACGTGAAATGTGGTTGCGTTGTCATGAACTAAGACGGTAAGATTTATCATTTACTTAAATGACTACAACTAAAAGAATCTACAGTCGAATGGCGACCTTACCTCCTGTCATTCGGTTAATTTCTCTTCGTCTTTGGATTCCTCTCCTTCTCCATGCAGTCTCTATTTTATCGGTAAAATTTGACGTTGCGCACGAATACGACATGAGCAAGAGGTGTTTCACCTCTTGCTTATGTCGTATTCGTGCGCAACGCCCACATATTTGTGTTCGAGCTAACAGTCTTTTTATTTTGCATCTAACACTGGACTTTCACTTATGTACCAACGCATTTGTTTTCTTCCCAGGTTACAACTTTCACCTGAATCTTTCGGACGAAACGGCAACAGAGGTCTCCGTGGCCCGCAACCTTCCCTTGGCCATTTTGCCCGTCGCTATAGCCATCGCCGGACCTGTGATAGCCGTACTCTTCGGCAGTCTCAAGCTCGTTCTGCTGTCCTTTGCCTTGATCTACCTGTTCCTGTTCGGCCTCACCTTCATACCTACTCTCGGAGTCCACGTGCAGTCCGTGTTCCGAGCCCTGGGCGACACCCTCACGGCCGCCGTGCCTCCGACCATAGGCGAAGACTTGCTGAGGAGCGCAGGACTCGATGCTGAAGAGTGCCGGACCAGAGCTGTCTGTGAGGTCACCGAGGACGCTGTGCGGCGGTACCCCACCGTGGCCGCCATGCTGAGGTCGCTCAGCGGTGCTGTTCAGGCTCAAGAGGGAAGCAAGTTTGTGCTCAAGGGAATTCTGGGCGGACTGTCTGGTCTAGGATGCGAGTCACTGTATGATGCCTGTAAGAAGTCGCCGCTCGAGAAGGTGCTCAAGGCGCTCTCTTAGCACTACAATTTGTACTGGTGCGTCGGTTTTCTGTTATCGTTAATAAAAAGATATGAACTAACTCCTGTGTCGATTGCCGTGACTGAGACAATTGCATTTGCTGTGGCAACTGCAATTGTCATTGCTGTTGCCATTTTAAACTTAATTTTAAATAAATTAGACGCTAAGAAAAGTACTGGGCCGGATATGATACCAAACACTTTTTTAAAAAGGTATGCAGAATGGATGTCCAAGTATTTACATGTTTTGTTTTGTTTTTCTCTTGAGCATGCAGTATTGCCAAATGACTGGAAGACAGCAAAAATAATTCCGATACATAAAGAGGGTGACTGGAGTGCAGCATCAAACTTTAGGCCAATATCTTTGACTAGCACCACGTGTAAATTGCTAGAGCATATTATTTTTACACATATTTCATGTTACTTAGATAAGCATAACCTGATATATAGAAATCAGCATGGGTTTAGGAAATCGCTTTCGACTACAACTCAGCTCATAGAATTTACGCATGACTTGGCTGAAGCCATTAACGAGAGGGGCCAGACTGACGTAATTTACTTAGATTTTTCTAAGGCGTTTGACACGGTGTCTCATCCAAAGCTGCTGGCAAAACTTTCCACTATATTCAAAAACTCACAAATCATAAATTGGGTAACCGCGTATTTATCAAACCGAAGCCAATATTTCCACTATGACAAAGTTGATTCGGACAAAGTGCGCGTTACTTCAGGAGTGCCCCAGGGTTCTGTACTTGGGCCACTTTTGTTTTTGATTTACATTAATGACATTCCAACCAATATTGATGTCCCGATTAGATTGTTCGCTGACGACTGTATTATATATAAAACAATAAAAAGCCATACCGACAATCTTAAACTGCAGCAGGCTTTGGATGAGATACTGTGTTGGACTAAAAAATGGCAAATGAAGTTAAATTTTTTTAAAACAGCCGTCATGACAGTGTCCTGTAAAAAAAAGCCAATTCAATTTAGTTACCTACTGGATGGACAACCAGTAAAGCGGGTCGAGGAGTACAAGTATTTAGGACTTCTTTTTAACAATAAACTGAACTGGAACCAGCATTTAGAATTAACGGTTAACAAAGCGAGGGGCACTTTGTTTGCGTGTCGTAGGAAATTAAAATATGCTGATTTTGACACTAAACTTATTGCTTATAAAAGTTTTATTAGGCCTGTGCTCGAATATGCTAGTTCAGTATGGTACCCTTTCACACTAAACGGTATTAACAAGCTTGAAAGTATCCAAAAGTTAGCTGCTCGGTTTATTTTTAATGATTATCGTAGAGAAACATCGTCCACCGAATTAGTTATTAGAGCGAAGCTTCAACCGTTGCAAATGAGAGCGAAAATTGATAGATTAAGATTGTTGTTCAATATTCTTAATGGCACTCCATGTTCAAAGCTCTAACTATATACAACCATTATCGACCGGGTCCTCACGTCTAAACCACACAAGAGCGTTAAAACAATACAGGTTCAAAAACGACTGTTTTAGATATTCTTTCTTCCCTCGGGCAATTCAAGAATGGAACGAACTACCAAATGATGTCGTTAACACAACTGTTGCTAATTTTGTATCTGCTCTTGAATTCATACTTAATTGAGTTTTTATTTATAAATCTGCATCTTGTATACATGTTTTGTACCCACTCCTACCATGGCTCCTTGACTGGAGCCAGTAGTATTCCTAAATAAATAAATAAAAAAATATATTTTTTTCCATTACCGTCTTCTAGTGGCACCCCCATCTGGGGAGCGGGCTTATGAAACAAGTTGCAGTCTCAAACCTTGTCTTATCGGTCTACCTTTCAGTGTACAACATAATTTTAAGGCACAAAGTCGGCCTGCAGTGGCTGGAATTTTTAACAAACAAATATGCGTTGTTTCGTTTATATCAAATTCATTTCGTTTTAAACAGAAAACTATAAAATTTTGGTAAAAAATATGCGACAGCAAGGAAAAGGCTTTTTGAAACAGACAAATAAGTTGTTAACAGTAGCTGTTAAAAAAGGGAAGGTTTAGGAGGAGACTCTTCGTTTCAAACCTTCCGGTGAAGATTGGAAACGTGTCAAGAAGGAGGTTTGGAAACATTTAGAGACGTTATTGGTTACTAAACTGAACATCAACAAAGCATACCTGAAATAAATGTAAGGGCGCAAACGAGCTGGTGTAGATCAAAGTTCAATGTCGACACACCCTTTGACAGGGATTATAGATTGAACCGTTTGACCCCGTTTGCGTCGACTATTTTAGATTGTGCGAAAAACGCACACACACACACACACACAAAAAAAGTCCATTGTGTGTCATGTGTAATTTATAGGATACCCGTTTTGTGTGTTTTTTTGTTATATCGGACGATCTAAGCCCTGTATACGGTTGACGGTACATAAGCGCGTTATAAAGACAAAGGACCCACACTTTGAAGTTTCGAAATATCTGGTCGAATCTAAGAATTGTATACCGTTCTGGAATTTGACATCAGTAGAAGGAAGGAAAAAAGATGACCACAAACGTTTGATGAAAGAATCGCCCACGGAAGTCACGGAAACGCTGTTAATAAGCCTTCGTTTGGTTTGGACCACGAACTCCGGCGGTTTCTGAGGTTTTGAAAAGTGCTGTCCTTGAAGTGCCTGTAAGTTTCCGGGAAGAAAATTTGTTTTGTTCGTTTTGGGTCACGGTGACAGTGCTGGAAGATAAGAAAGGAGGAAGATGTCGCGGAGGCCATCGTTGTCCTACTAACTGTTTGGAATGTTCATTTGTGGGAAAGTGTTCTTGGGGTTTTCCCTTGCCTTTTTTCGTTCGTTTTTCACTTATTTACCCAGGTTTCGGAAAATAAAATTTCCGCTGTGTTTGAGACTTTTAAGTGTGCGTGTAGTTACCTACAGTCTCGGCTTTTTTTAATCATGTTTAAAGGGGCGATGCAACGATTTTTGTATTTTGCGCAAATACCGCTTAGAACGGATCCCTGACGTTAATGACCTGTGAAATACCCGTTTGTTTTTCACCACACGCAATCGAAGTCACAGAAAAAAATAAAGAAAAACGAGCAGAGGTCATCCCCTCAACTCGCAGCTAGAACAAGCGGCCACGTGATCTGGAGCCGATTATATGCCGCCAATGTTGATCATAGCCACGCGCTAAGGTTGGCAAGGCATAGGACACGCGCTGCGTTCCAGACATTGTTATGGTACAGCTGTTGTCGTCATTGCACCGATTGGACACAGGACACTACCCGAATGCTTCTCGAGCTATCGGTTATCACGAGCCCAAATTGAGTGCCCACGCAATGCTCGGGTCCAAGCTATAAGCCGCATTCAAATATCGTCACTGGGCGGTACTGCTACCGCCGAGCTACGTCATCAGGTTTCGCGAAGGAGAGATTGAATGAAAACGCTCGGTTTTGTCCTCGAAATTACAGCGCAACAAAGGAGTTTCTTGGCCAGTGGCGTTGCGTGCGAGTATCCTTGAGTCCCACTAGTGCCAGTAAGCTCGTGTAAAGTGGAAAACATTCCAATTGAATATCGTTGCACCGCGCCTTTAAGAATACCAAATCTTCTCCGTAACATTCTTAAAGGATCAGAAGGTTGATTCTCCGCTCAGATTCGCTGTCAGTTAGGATGGCACGTGGCAAAAGAGTGTTCTGCCTTCCGACAGAGGAATTTCATATCTGGAATCCTATGCAATGGTTTGATTTCAGACTTACAACCATTTAATAGAAATTCATGCACGGTGTTTCTTTAGACATCAAGGACTTATGATATTTTATATTCTTTAGACATCAAGGACTTATGATATTTTCTTTATATTCTTTAGACATCAAGGACTTATGATATTTTCTTACAGTAAATGTTACGCTTTCGGGGGTCAGCCAGTTTTGGGAAAAGAATATAGATAGCTTTTAATCTCAATAGGAAATACACGTGTCTGATTTTCTTAGGATTCTTGACTTGTATTTTCCGTCCACGGTAGTGGCTCCTGGGGTCAAAAGTTTATTCAGCGGCAGGGAGTATGCATAGGTTCGGCGGTGGCTCCTTCTCTCCCAGAAATCTGCCTCATGTTCTTATATGTAAGGGTGTTTGATTTCGTCGAGGATTGTAAACCTAGCTCTGTTTAAAATCCTTGATCTTTGATAGCAGATCTTCGGGTACGACATTTTGGTGTGTGTCCTGGATTTAACTCTAGTAAACTCAATTGAAAACACTGTACAAGAAGGCCCCGGAGTTGCGGTTTTCTATAGAAAGGTAGGAGAAAAACTGTCTAATATTTCGACATTCAGTTTAGACTACGGCCGGGCTTGTGTTTGTGGTATGGCAAGGTGGCGGCAAAATCAATCATTTTGTTCGCTAGCCGTCATTCGAAAAATGTCGAGTTGGGTCTGGTTCAAAATTTGATAGGTAACACAGTCCAAAAGTTGCGCTCTCACTTTATTAACTACTTTCTTCGAGATCTATTTTGCCGTTTCAAAGATGCATAATACTATCAGGAGTTTCTGAACAAGCAGCTGTCCTACGTTATATCCTGCGATAAGAAGTTTTAAAAATGTTCCAGTCAGGGAAAGTTTCTTGTCGTCCCTTTCTTTCACGGAATATCCTGCAACGTCCAATCTATCGTTGACAGGTTTGGGCTGCGTATTGAATTTAGCGGAAACTATAGCTTGAAAAGGTTAACTCCTTTCATTTCGGCTCAAACAGGTTGCCTAAAAAAACACGAAAAGAAAAATGTCGCGTGTGTTGCAGGAGTTGTCTACGAAATTTCTTTTGACTGTGGGCTATGCTATACTGGTCAAACCAAATGCTGCATTAATGACCGTTTGACCGAACATAGGCAATGCATGCGAAAGAGGAGTCCGTGTTTGGATGTTTCAGAGCACCTTCAACAATGTAACAATCGCATCTTTTTGTGGAATTTGACCTTTAGAATGTCAACAACAACAAAACAAAACAAAAAAAGAAAGAAAAACGATTACAAGCATTTATT